TTAGACTTCAAGTTATTGAATAAAACTTCTTATAGAAAAGCACATACAAACTAGTCAAAAATAATTATCTACAATGAAATTAAGCGGGAGAAAAACGATTTCGCGAATAATAAATACATTTCTACTTCAGTTGCTGGAAGAAAACTTTAAAAAGACGCAAGTTTAATATATTTAACTGATAACTCTTAATTTTCTAGGAAGGCTTACTTCTTTTTTCTATAGTTTTAGTCTTTTACCGACTCAACCACATAAGTGAAAATACCGTTTGCGGTCTCATGTCCGTCTTTTTTTCCCACCTCAGGCTGCATAAACTAGTAATAGATTATTTAATTATTAATGCATCCAACAGATAATTTCATCTTTCTAAAGTCTGTCTACAATATATATATATGCTTATTGTTTAGAAATACACCAAGACAGTCATAGTTTTCCTAGTTTACCCCTGAAGAATAAAGGTCCACCTTTCGAAAGCGCTCGGGTTATAGGGTTTATATCATCTTGTACAAGACTTCTTGAACCTACGTGTTTTTCTGACAACACGAATATTTTTAGGAAACATGTTCTGGTATCAGAAGCTGTTTTTCCGCGTTAGAAGCTCTCGGATTTACCACTGAGCCACTATGGAGCATTTTACAAATCACTACCCAAGAGAACTTTCGTTCAACACCTGGTTTTCTCCAAGTTTGTATTCACTACAACAAGATCTAACAAGCAAACTAATTCACACAAAAATTACAAACATTAGAGATCAAGATAATGAAAACTCCAACCGTCTCTAAAAGCGTGTAAAATAAAATAATTACTTGAAGTCTCTCTTAAAAGAAAAACGACACCGATATTAAAACCAATCGTGAATTTAAAACATTTTCTATTGAGGATTGCAGATAAAATGTTTTCACTTCAAACTTAAGCTGGGAAGTATAATAGGTAAACATACTAAAGAATCCTTTTCGAAGTTTCTTTAAAATTGTAACAGGGCCTCGAAGCACCAGGACACAACCTTTATTCGCGAATACACGAGCACTTAAACAATAAATAACAAAAGCTAGGAATTCATTAAAAGATTAACAAAGAAGTCTCGATTCAGCTTTGAGCTGAAGACTTTTAAGATTATCATCTAACGTAAACACTTCAACTAACAGAATTAAGAATTATCTTTTACATATTTTATGTACTATTACTTATTGCGAACCTATTATAAATAACAACCAGAGACCTCTAGGAGTTAACAACATGCTTGACCGTGGATCTGAAGATCTACGGTTCATGGCCCGTGGATACGGTATAAGAATGATGGTCAAATTCCACCATTCGATTAGAGAAAATCAAGAGTTAGTTAGTGGTGGGAACTGTTGCTTAGCTACCTTCTTCCTAATCTATCACTTCAAAATTAGAGAAGATAGCACTTGTGTAGCTTTGGGCGAATATCCGAGACAAAATAAAAAAATCTAAATCAATATTAAATTATTTAATTAAGTTGCAGAAAAGTTACACACAAATAATTATGAAAATGCAAATATATATATAAAGGTAGCTAGTCAACACCGCCAAGTATTAGACTACCCTTTTACTAACAAGTAGTGGGATTGTTTGTTTGTTTTGAATTTCGCGCAAAGATACACG